AAGTAGAAGTGGCTGTTAATCCCAAGAAAGACAGTATACTAAAACCAGCTAAAGCTTAAAAAGGTGTTATGTTTAAAGCCCAGCTGGTTACTCAGCACCACACAGCCATTTGCTCATTCCCCTCCCCTTTCCCTTTCCAGGCAGGATGGGTAAGACAACTGAAAGAATGTAAACCCCATGAGTTAAGAACAATCCAGTAACTAAAATACAATATACTATTACTACTACTAATAATAATGATACAGGAAATAACAAGAGGAGAGAATATAAAACTGAAAAGAAAAGAAAATCAAACGACTAAGCAGCAGTGATGCCCAATACAATTGCTCAGCACCCACCAGCTGATACCCAGCCCGACCCAAGCAGCGATCTGGGCCTTCCGGGTGACCCCCCCAGTTTCTATACTGGACATGGTGTCCTATTGTATGGAATACCCATTTGGTTAGTTTGGGTCAGGTGTCCTGTCTCGGCTTCCTTGTGACTTCCCCTCCTCCCTGGCAGAGCATGAGGGACTGAAAAGTCCTTGAGCAGGGTACTGAGCAGCAACTAAAACATCAGTGTGTTACCAGCATTATTGTCAGGCTAAAGCCAAACAGCACTGCTCCAGCTGCTAGGAAGGAGAAAAAATAACTGTTACAGCTGAAACCAGGACAAAAGGGAAGGAGGAGCTGCCAAAGACAGACAATGTTAAAACATCTTCCACTTAAAAGGATGAGAATATTTTGATACTGTCATGTAAATAGTTGTCAGTATGGGAAGACAGGAATGCCTTCGCAGCCTCAATGTAATGTGGCGGTAGTAATTAACTTCCAAGACAAAAAAAAAAAGAGCATTATTTCATTTGATGTTTACTGTTTTTCAGAAGTTTCATTAATTGTGCACTGGAAGCTAACACTAATTTTACAGAAGAATTTAACTGGTTGCAATTTATGTAATTGCCAGGGGGGTTGCAACAGGTGAAATAGAAGCATTTCTGGAACATGGACAGTGGCATGGCTGGTTTTGAATTTCTAGTCATTAGAGCCACAGAAGCATTCCTTGAATCCTGCACAGTTTTGTAAGTTGTAGTATACGTATAGATAGTGGACAACAGAATTGGATTTGTCTGAATGCAGACTGTGTGTACGTGTGTGGCTTAAAGTACAGCAGTGAATGCACACATTTTTCACAACTCAGCAAATACTTGCAGTGCAAACCATTTTCGTTGCAGTAAGGTGGAAAAAGAGCAAGTCTTATTACAGTGCAGTATCAAACATAAAGACCATTTATCTTGAAGGCAGTAAAGATAAGTTTTAAAATGACAGCTTAGACTACAACATGTTTGGTAATTAGTACAAGATGCAAAATATTTGTACTGCAATCCTACATACAGGACTGTTTAATCAACACTTCTACCAGATGTCCCAGCAAAATTTTGCACGTACCTCTACTTCGAATCAATGACAGAAACTGCAGTTCAAGAAAAGTCATATTTAAAACTTGTAAACTCAGCTTCCACTAATACAGCTCAAAGCCATTACTGTAGGAAAGATACTGGCAGCGTTCAGATTCCTGCCCAAGTAATTTTTCAGCATAGAAATCATCAACTATCCTGAGAGATTTCTTCACAAGCTTATTAAGTCTTAAAGAACCTGTCCTGGTATTGGCTGGAATGGAGTTACTTCCTATTTCACATTATTCCGCATATGCTCATTAGCACCTTTCCTCTTCTCAAAGATCTTCAGCAGTTTAAGATTTCCTTACAAACAAGTCTGATCCTAACCCCTGTGACACATCTTGGAACCCCTCCCAGCATTTTCTGGCATCACAGATCAATAACTCAGGAAGGACTGACTCCAGGGATCAGTAGGCAAGCAGCGAGAACGCTGAAAACCTAGAGTTGCTTTGCAAAGTTTACAGGGATTAGTAATTTGTAGTGTGGGTGCTGGTGATTAGGCAAGTCATCTTGTACCTGAATGATTGAAGGGCGTAAGGACTCTCTGTAGAGGCACATTTATGTGCTCCAATGGGGCTGGGGCATGACACGCGCATGAAAAAATATTTGTTCTTGTAATTCTATACTTTGCATCCTAGCCTCTTGCCTTGGTCTTCATGGGTCAGTTTGATTTTTTTGTGACACAGGCTTGGGGCTCACCTGTGGGCTGGGGCTTTTGCTGGGTGACGCCAAGGCAGCGTTGGATGAGGCCATAAAAGGATGGAGCAAGCTGGGCAGCCACTGCAGCGCCAGCTCTGGAAAATCAGTGCGTGAGCCCCAGCCAGCAATTCTCACCCACCAGCCAGGTAGGTGTGAGCTGAGTTTCCCATGCTCAGCCAGTCTCTGCCTGGCACCTGGGGCAGCCGTGGTTCCTTCCCAGGGCCGGATCCAGCCCGCCGCAGTGGTGCTGGTACTGGGGCAGCGATGGAGGTCTCTATCCTCCTGGCATTGACACTGATCAATGTGGTTTCTCCCATGGCTTCACACCACCCGGAGCAACGCCCCAACTACCCATCCTCTCGGTGGCCATCCCCGTCCCAGCTCAGCCTCCTGCAGGGTGGGCAGGGGCTGCATTAACCCCCTCCCCACTTCCCTCTGTGCAAATGACTGCAGGCAGAGAGAGGTGCTGTGAAGCGAACACCCAGACCTTTTAATGAATTAAACAAGAAACAGGGATGGGGGAGAGGGCTGGGGCAGGTCCTTCACCATCAATGGTGTCTTCTTTCTAGGGGTGACCTTGACCTTGAACAGTGATGACCATGTGACCTTCTCCTGGAAAAACAGTCACGACTCTTCCTTCTGCTGCCTCCTGGATACCGTGGTGATGCCAAGCTGGAATGTGAATGGGAACAACTGCATGATCCGGAGTAGAGACTCCCACTCAGCAAGAAAGCGCATGTGTAATTCAAATGCAGATATTAGAATTGGTTTCTGGGAATCTCGTGAATATGTAAATAACCTCCTGGGAAAACCGTAAATATGCATGAGTATGCTAAATACAGAGCTGCTGCCGCCTGCAAGGAACGGGCACGCTCACCTTTGAGTGTGCGCCCAGCGCTGCAATAAAGAACGCTGCTTTCTGAAACTCCAAATTGAGCCTTGGAGAGTTTCTCCAACGGACTTTTGCGGTCAAAACTTTGGTGCCCGAACACGGACCCTCTGCCGTGCTTCCTGCTGATCTGGGGAGTCTCTGGGACCTTCACGCCAGTGTTGGGGATTTCCCTGAAAGGAACCACAGATCCCCGGACCAACTCGGGACCTTGGTCAGGCCCTGATTTTATTTCTTTAAAAAGGCGTTCTTTTTGGTAACTTGTCCACGTGAGTCACAGGAGATGCCCTGTGCAGTGGGTAAGGATTTGTTTGGTTGTCTGGACGTTGTATTTGGAGGGAGGTCAGGACCACTGCCTCCAAAGGGAGGATTTTGAAGAAATCCCCATTGGGTTGCATTTTGCAACACTGAAAAGAAATTGGTGGACCCCCAGGTGGGCTCAGTCACTCAGGAGACTTTGATAAAAGTATTGTAATCAATGGTGGCCATTGTACAAGCTGGAGTCTTCGGCGAAGTGGCCTGTGAACCCTACAATTCATTATAATTGATTGATTGATGCTGGCTTGCCGAAGGGAGGCGAAGTGGGATGAGTTACGGTATATTGATTTATTCTTTGATTGGCAGAATAATTCGGACTTGTGAAAGGGGTGTATGCATATACCTAAAGATCTCCATTAGCACTGGAGAAGGATAATAACAAACCGCTCAGGAGTTGATGTTCTGCGTGTAGTATTGGTAAGTGGTGTGTTAGATGTAGGTAGGAAAAAGAGGATGTGGAATTATTAGTTGGACCACAAATTAAAACAAGGAACGAGCGGGGCGGGGCGGGGGGGTCAGGTTTGGATGCAGGTGGGAAAAGAGCTCTAGCCCCATCATGAGGTGAACAACGAAAGGTGCTCTCCGAGGTATACAAGCTCCTTACGCCAGGGAGCAGGAGTGGAGGGACTGGTGACTATCAAGGTGTCGTTTTCTGTGTCAGATTTATGAGCCTGGAAAAAGTTAGCCAGACCCTATAGGGAAGATCCTGAAAAAGTAACTAAAGTGATGGAGACGATTATTAGAACACAAGATCCAGACTGGAATGTTTTACAAGTAGTACTGGATACTTTGGTAACGTACGATCATAAAGTATAGTGCTGGCAAAAGCAAGGGAGGAGGCAGAAAAGATCCATATGCAGGGGGCACAGGGCAGTGCCAGTGGCTGACCACTTTCCCTCCGCAGACCCTACATGGGATCCAAGTGTTCTGCCTGAGCAGGATCTATTAACCAAATATCAGCGGTTGGTTTTGTTTGGAATGAAACGTAAGTACACAGGTAAGGACCCTGAAAAAGGTGCAGCACAGTTATCTTATCTTTTTATTGGTCCATCAGACCCAGGTATTAAATGCAAGCTGCAAAAACTGGGAGGGACAGACTCTCGGTCACTCAGTAAATCACTGCAAACAGTCTGGAGAATATACAGTAACAGAGAAGTCGAAAGGGAGAAGGAAATAATAGGGAGAAAAAAAATGTTGCTCTCACCCAGGAAAGCAGGAAAGGGGGGAGCGACCTGGGAGGAAAGGGTCAGAAAGAAGGATTACATGGAAAGGCTTGTGAACAGACTGCACGGGTTGCACTTGGAGAATGATCAGAGTGCAGTCTGTAAGCAGAGGGAGCGCTGGAAGAGAGAATGATCAGAGTGTAGTCTGTAAGCAGAGGGAGCACTGGCAGAGAGAATGCCCTCAGAGACAAAATAAACACCGGAGATTTAGTGGAATGTCAGGGCCTGCCCTGACATACTTTAGATGAAGATTGAGGAGGAGCGGGGGAAGATTCGAAACCCTCCCCAGCAGAGCCCCTGGCTACAGTTAGGTTGGGGAACGATAAAGTAAAATTTCTTGTAGAAACAAAAGCTACTTATTCTGTTATAAATTCTTGTGAAGTGCAAGTTATCTATATAGAAGTTTCTATATAGAAAAGCTATCTATAACAATCTACACCAAACGGAAGGACTAACATGACACAGAAACAGGCTCTTCTCTCTCCACCTGAGAGAAAGCAGCTTGGCCGTTTGAGATGCCTCAGTGGAAAAAATTCAGAATTGTCATAAAACGACAGCACTGATTTTCCCAATAACTGCCTCAATCAGTATCAACTATGTTGTTAAAACAAGAATGTTGGACGATGATTTCTACTGAAAACCCCATTTCTTCAGCCCTACTCAGCCAGTAATCCAAAGCTTTCCATCTGATTCTTTAATCGTGTTTAATTTTTATATGTACTTATGGTTTTCTCAAAAAGCATCCTTCTTTCAGTCTTCCTTTTAATCATGTACCAGAGTTTTAGTTGAAATAATCTTACTGCAAGCACGCAGTATCCCCTTTCTTACAGCCAATTCAAACTGAGCCATTTAAAAATCAGTTACCAATTGTATTCCCCGCAGCTCTCTGTGCATGCTTATTTGATTATCGATCAGCTGTTGTGTAAGTCATACCTTACAGCCTAGGTTGCAAGTAGTTATGTACTGAATTTCTATAGCGTACTTACAGTCCACAGCTTGTTCTGGCACCTGGTGAGCGGATGGTACTGTCTGCCCTCGGAGGACCTTTTGGAGAGGGGAGAAGAAAAAAAGCCCATTCAGCTTATCTGAAGGTAATTTTTTAACAGAAGTTCTAAAGCTGTCATTACTTACCAGTTGTGGGTACTGATTGCCCTTGGCAGCCCAGAAGACTTGGTAGTGCTAGTTGTCTTCGTACAGGAACTTGACAGCCCTTGTGAATAAATGCAAACAGCTGGAAAACAAGCTCTACTGAAATCCTGGAGTCACTGCACATGTGGAAATAAAGCTTACCTTCTCTTCCAACAACCTGCTGATTGACAGAGAGGAAGATTGAGGCAGTTCAGCGGCAGTCACCAAAGCAGCAGGAGGGATACCTGTCGTGAGTGGTGCTGGAGGTGGTGGCTCCGGCTGCTGCTGCTGAATCTGCTTACGGAGCCTTTTTGTGTAGCCAGCTCCATTTCTGAAGGTGTTCACAGCCTAGAGGCAGAGGAACATTTTATAAAGGTAATCTGAAACTTCAGCAGATACACCAACAAAACCTCCACGGAGTAAAATTACTTGTGTATTCCTGGAAATGCAATCCAAGGCATTCAACCACAGCTACATAAACACACCACATTAAACACTCATGTCAATCATGGTTAACTCAGGGTATCTGTATTTAAAATACTTCAGTGTTAACACCGAATTTGAAAGTGAGGTGACTGTGTTAAACAGAAGTGTGGCCTGAATTTGCCAGATGGTCTCTAAAGAGCTGTCAGAGATAAATGTGCTTGAAAAGTACATTTAGCCTTTTTCAATTTGGCCTTGCTTAAGGCTAAATTAATATTACAGTAATATTGTCTTCTCTCTCAGCTCCTTACAAGCTCTTTGTACGACTGATGTAAAAGTCATCACACTACCTGGCGTAGGCTCTGGTTGGCAACTAAAGCATCAGGAGAAACATCTGTCTGATGACACGCTGGGCATGTGTATTCCTCAGACTCCAGCAACGCCGTTCTAATACCTGTGCATAATTAGTATAATCACAATACAACAGTTTTCAGCCAAACTAAGGAAAGTTGTTGGGTCTAATCAAAACACGTATATGATTCATGGGTGAATGTGGTCTTGAGTGTATAGCATGAAGCTACAAATGTTCAAGAGTGTAAAAGATTTCTAGTACGCAGCAAATAGTTACACAGTTTTGACATTTCACTGTTGTAATATTTGAAGATGGAGTGTAGGCTGTGTCTTCATGATTCAACTCATCCTTTTTCCACTGTCCACTACAGCAAGAAGTCATTGACCCCAAAGTTAATGAACAAAGTGCATCTCAAAAACAAGCGTTGGTAGGCCTGAGTTCTGAAGGTTTGAACCAGCTCTCCCGTGGAGAAGAATGCGGATTAAATGCCTAACTATCCGTTTGTTGCAGACCACAGTCAGTCACCAGAGGTGGCTGTATAATTTTGTATGAGAGAAAGGGCTGTGGACAAATATTTGATAGCTAATACTGTAATCACCTGCACAGCTAGGCACTCCTCTGCATGTAAAGAGGATGCAACCGGATCTGTAGAAAGAGAAGCAAGTTTTCTGCCTTTTGGTTTTTGTTTTTTTACTTTATACGAGATGAGTCCTTTCCTAGTCAGGGTATACTTAGGTTTTCATTAGAACAGGTAACAAAGCAATTTTGTTATCTGCTGTTTTTGCTTTCAGAAGATCAGATGTGATGTTTTCAATTAACAACATGGGAATAACACTTACATTCGTCACAATAACTGCTTCCACAGCAGGGAAGAATAGCTGCATCAGTCATTATATCTTTACAAATGAGACATAACAGCTCATCCGGAGCAGGACCGTCAGAAGAGGAGGAGGATGGCTCCTTTGGTAAAAATGGAGGTCTTTCCCTCTTTCCTCTAGCATAAGCTTCCCTGAAGGACGTGTGGGGAAGGAAAAAGAACAAATTTAAAGATGGGTAAAGGAATACTTTTCCAAGCCTTGCATTTTATCAAAAGAAGATACTAGACAGAATTCTTCTCATTCCACACTAGCCTTCTGAACTGTAGGCACTGACCTGAAACTACTTTCCTATAGCCGTAACTCTGTAAAATAAAAACTCGGAGGCGGATGAAATCTCAATCCAACAGCTGTTGGTTAAATTTTTGTAAGAAACGTTTGAAACATAAACCAGAAGCAAAATGACCTCTCAAAGAGAACGAGTCCCCTGTCACCACTACTGAAGCTTTTTGCAGAAATACAGATCCTTGGTGCACCACAACCTGAACCAGCTTCCAGGGGCATGACAAATATGAATGACCACCCTCTTTTCAGATGAGCAAGTATCACAGGTTTTAAGGTTAAAATGCAATGACTGCGCTTCCTCTCCCGTAATTACAGATGCAGTCCAACTTGGTTGCATGGCCACTCAGATGTTTACGCATGCTTTCTCTCATTCGCTTTTTGGTCAGTCCAATTAATTCCATACTTACGCATTAATAATCGGTATTGCATATTTTCCAGTGTTTGTCAGCATTGCACCCTTTGTGTTGGGATCTTTCACCTCTATCATGAAACTCCTTGGAATTCCTGTGCTCCTTTTCAGTCTGGGAACAGACTCAACATTTTTGTCCTGTTAAGCACAGAAATGCAGACATACCTCATCTTAAGACCTACACTTAAAATGACAGTTCAGTGATGACTGTAAGAAGCAAAAGCCTTTAAATCCTCTCCTTCTACCCAGCGTGAAGGTTGTTCAACTGAAACACTTCTTTTCCTAGGGTGTTCCTAGGTCACCTATCGTTCCTAAGTCACCTATCGTTCCTAAGAAGCTAAGAAGCTTCTCAGGGAAGTGGTGGAATCACTGTTCCCTGAAGTGTTCAAAAGAACACGTACGTGAGGCCCTTAGTGACATGGTTCGTGATGGATTTGGCAGTCCTGAAGTATCAGTTGGACTTGATGCATCCCTTCCAACCTAGGTGGTTCTCTGATTCTGTGAAAGCCTTAAGCAGAGTTTTGATCTGAGTCGACATTCTTTGGCTTAACAACAGGTTTCTTAAGGGTGAAATATCCCTTACCTCATGATGCACTGGGAGAAGAGACACAAACCTGCCTCCCTCCCCCCCTAAAGCACAGTTCAGAGGGAAAGCTTAAGTCAGGGTCAGCCACTGGAGAAACATCTATTCACCAGCTATAGATGAAGCTTGAATTCATACCTCACGCGTATACATTCAGTGACCAATGTTAAAGGGCATGAACACTCAACCAGAGACTTGTGTCAGTAAAACACACAAATATTCAATAGATGGGGTCAACAGAAACATCTTGGTTTCGTACAAAATCCTGAAAACGTGAACTGTCATTAAAAGAGTTAAAACAGAAACATTTCCAGGAATATTGAAATACACCAAAATATGCATGTAAATTCACAGACAAAAAGATCTATGGACTTATTTCAGGTCTGTGGCTTAGAAAAAAGAAAAAATTACATTTATAATCCCGGCTTTCCCTTGAACTTTGAAGGGCTTTTCAGCATTGCCATGTAACCTCTGTATTTCACCTCGAGAGAAACAGTTCTTAATACGATTATTCCTCTATTTGTTACTTGACTCCCAAGGTCAGAAATTAAACAAGGTCAGAAAGTAACCCCGGAAGCCCCCAAAATCTTACCCCATTTCTTGGGCAGTCCTTTCTATAGTGGCCAGGTTTTCCGCAGCAAAAGCAAACATATGATGGTGGAGGTGTACCCAAGGGCTTCTTTGTGTGACTAGAAAGGTTTCAGGAAGAAAAAGGTATGCATGTGTCTCTCCTGTTAAAACAAACATCTACACAATTTTTCCATAATCATCAAAGAACTGATTTGACATTATCAACACTTACTTGACTGGACCATATTCACGGAAAGACTGTATCATCATGGCTTTTATTTTATCTTCTTCAGAAGCATTGGCTTCAGCCAGGTTGGCAGTCTGTTTAACACGGAATTATTTGACACACACGTTAGAAACACAGGCAAGCTCACCCAGGCAAAGACAACACCACTTGCTCAACCCTGTAAAGCGCACCACAATGCTAGCTGATGTTGCCTGAAAACACATGCTTCTATAAAACAAACACAGTTGTCCTGAGAGCGCGCTGGGGAGACTTTGTGCTTGTACGTGACGCTTATGTGCCTGCTAGCCTACTTGAAAAGAGCATTCTTGGGCACTCAAAACCTTAGGCTTGACATAGACTTGTGTAACCGATCCACTTTTCTTCCAAGTGGATTCAGCCAAGTGGTGAGTAAAAGAAATGACACTAGCAGCAGTTTTCAACTGGTTTTGAAGCTCCAGCCCATTTGAAGGAGAAGACAGCTACTGTGCATTTAATTGAGAAAGATTTCTGCAAGTTATATTATTTACACTTTGCAGCACTAAAAAGAACACACAATGTTAGTGTCAGGCCTGTAGTTTTTGCTTGCTGAAATTCAGCATCAGACACAAAAGCACTGAAAGGAATCTTCCTGATCCCTCAGCAAGACACAAGGTTCTTTTCAGTAGAAATGTGACCATCGTGTCCTGTAGGCAATCCAAACTGCATTTCCCCCCCCCTACTCACTTCTTCCTACTGAGGGACTTAACTACAGAGAGCACAACCTGCAGACTTTTCCAGGGGACTGTGTCCTTTTAATGGACATATTGTAATACCACCCATGTGCAGAACTAGATCTTGAAGCCAGCTGATTTTTCTGATGTTTTTATTACACACTAGTCCATATACAAGAAAGGTCTAAGGGAGTGACTGTAAATGATCTGGACCAAAATTCAACTATGGCATTTACTGCACTGTAATAATAAAACCAAAAATATTTCACAGCACACTGCCCCTGTGCTAAGCCAGCCTGAACAATGTGTTTCGAGTAAGTAACAGGTTTGAGCTGCTTTTATGTGTTGTTCACGCGTTTCTCAAAAGATTCAATGTGCGCACCACTTGGACAGTTTTTCACATTTGAGAGTAAAACTTCACATGGGTTTACAGAACAAAGGACACATGCAGGGACAGCCAAAGGCACAAAATCTCATTCCTTCAGTGAGAGAGGGAAGATGCTGCCGGTGGGAAGCCCTCTCGTTCTTAGAAATGAACTCCTGCCTCTCTTCTTAGGAGAAAGAACTAGCTCCCATCTTTTTCATTTAATTGCCTAGCACTACGCTTTTTCACAAAGGGCAGTCATTAGTGTCTTGCCAAAGTTACACAGTGTTGAGCCAAAAGAGCAAGCAGTTCCATCCCAAAACAGGCCATTGCAACATTTTCAGGTGGTCACATCTGCTAACACACCGTAGATACACACTGGTGTATTCCTCTAAACAATCAAGTACACAATTTACACTACTGACAGTCTGCATTCAAACAAATTTGACTGTGTTCTCCACTGTCCAGAGGCTGGAATTTACGAGACTGTGCAGTATTCAAAGAATGCTTCTAGGCCTCTAATGACTAGAAATTCTAAACCAGCCATGCCATTGCCCAAGTTCCAGAAACACTTCTACTTCAGCTGTTGCAAACTGCCCTGAAATGTCCATACCATACAGCCAATCCAATTCTTTTGTAAAAATGCTGTTAGATTCCAACACAAAATTAATGAAACATAGGAAACAGCTTCTGAGGTACTGCTGCTTTATGTCCTGAAGATGAGTAACGCTGCGATGCTATATTGAGGCTGAGAAGGTACTCCCATTCTGTCTTCCCAAACTGGCAAGTACTCCTTACAGCACAGTATCGAATTAGACATACTTTTTAAAGTTAAACTAAATACTTTATTAAAAATTAAAGTTTTGTTCACATTACAACTGTTATCCATCCACAGACTGCAAGTAAGGCTTAAAAGTATGAAGGAAACACTTATTTTTAAGTATTTTACAACTATATATATATATATATATATATACACACACCTTTGAAAGCTGGGCCAGAGAAACAGATGCAGAAGACTCATCCTTCATTTGTTCAGCAAAAAATAAATGCGTATTCAAGTTCTATAATCAAAACATAGCAAGAGTTAACCTCTACTGCAGTCTGAAAATCTGCACTATATCCTCTGCGTGTCACTGAAAGAGGCATTTCCAACCTACTGTAATTTGTATTTGTTCAGAATAAAGTCCAAACCTGTGACAGCTGAAAAGTGCCTATATGTGGTTAATAAGACGAAACTAAACTAACCAACTCGCTTGAGATGGACTTACTGCTCCAGAATATCTCAGAGAGGGGCCCTTGTGAAAAATGCTGAAGTTTATTTGAGAAGGAAGCATCACTACAGGAAGCTTGCTTGCAGTGTAGTTTGTAAGTTAGTCAGTTAATGTCTCATCATTTCAACATGCACTTACACAGTTATGCTTTGATGAACACAGTAGCTGCCTGTCAAGATAAAAAGCAGCCCTGAAACATGAACTCTGCCCTTCTTCTCAAAAACTGCAAAGATGCCAAACTCACCATACCCCACCAAACCCAAACACCAATCTGAACATCTGAATTACAGTCTGGACTATGTTTTACTGGAAGATAGATGAAGTTAATGTTTGGAAAATTAATACAAGGCTACACTGTTTAGAATTCAGCGCAGTGTGTAGAAAAAAGGGTGAGATTGGGTTTTTACATACTGCTTCTGATGTTCTGCTCGCTGGCTCAGTTCCGCTTCTAGGAGGAGACAGAAAGGTGATCAGAACTTCAAATAAAGCACTTGCACCCAACAGAAAGCACCGAAAATCAACTATAAAACCCGAACATCAAAACATTATGTTCCGACAGTACAGTGAATATGGAAATTTATTTGTATACACAAACTGTTATCTCTTGGTCATTCAGTGCAACTAAAAAAACCTCCAAAATCCCATTTCTACTTTGTCAGAAGTCAGCCTTACAGATACAGAACACAACAGTGCAAGAGAAAGTCCTCAGATATTTTCTCTGCCACATAAGTATCAAATATATCAAGTCTGTACTACAGCTTTGTGTTCTTAAATAATCAACCCTCAAACTATCAACGTAACTTCAGGCAATCTGTACATCCCTAGGATTACAAACAGGTGTCACATACAGTACTTTAGTTTCTATGGCAGAACAGTGATAGTCCCAACACTTCAAAGGCAAGTTTACTTCAGTGAAAACAAATCAGTCATCTGACAAAGAAATAACAAAACTGTCAGCAGCTTAGTCTTTAGAACAGTGTTTCTTTGTGGAAGCCCAAGCACTGTGTTCAGGTATCTACCATGCTTAGCCGTGGAAGTGCCAAAGTACTAGACATGTTACATATGCTTTATTGACTAAAAATAGTAGTAGAAATGTCACCTGAAAGAAGCTGCTCCTGGGATTTTGCGTGACTGAGGAGCCCTGTGACCCAAAAAAAAGTCTTAGCTGCCAGAATTTGCTTTACAATAATGCTGCAGTATTTTAAGAAATACTTATTCCATCTGAAAACTTGCTGCAATTCCACATACTCACTGACCTGCATCTATCTATCATGAGTCAGAGATGCAACCTTGATACAGTTAACAAACAATTCACACATCATCCAAAGTGTCCCAGGAGCAGAGGCAATTCAAAGGCTGCTCTGGAATTCAGGTACAAACAGTAAGGCTCCTGTTTACATCCACCTACTTCCCAAAGGGAAGTAAGTACTTTAGATTGGGACACAATGGTTGTTTCATCCATTTACCTTGAAGAACAGACTACAAGGCAAGTAACAAGGCAAGTTTTTAAATGCCTCTCCACCATTCCATCAGACTTTCAACTTGCCCAGGCATTAAGCACTCTACCAGCGGTCTCTGCGCTGTTTCCAGCTGAAGGAATAGAAAGCTGATCTGCCTGATACATTTTCAGTGCTAGAAGAGCAGTGCCGTTCTTTCCTTAGCCCCACATACAGGTATGTATTTGATCTTTGGTGCTAGCAGCATCTAGCCTCTCCTTTTACGGCAGCACTACAATATGAGGAAAGGGTGCCATCCACACGCCTATCAGCTTAGGGTAAAAACAGCCTTAGGAGGATAGCTACCAACTTTTGGTAATGTGCTAAGTTGCTTATTGGGTTTCAGGTTTGGAAAGGATTACCTATTCCTTCATTGTACTTGCACAAGAGGCAATACACTTTATGAGACTGTTCTTTTTCTCTTGCCCAAAACAGATACCGGCTTTGGGAAACTTAATAGGAATCACTTTTGAATGGAACTTCTTGTTTGCATGCTTTGCCAGCTGGCAAGCGTCGGTCTTTCCTCCATGGCTAGTATGCAAACCCCACGCATCTGGGGCATGAGAATACCTGACGTATCCTGTCCCTCTCCCCCAAGTGCAACAAAAAGTCAAACACTAAGAATCAGACTCTTCAGAGACAGGAGCAGGTTTTAAGTTTACACTACACTGCAGAACTGTTTTCGCTATAAAAGCCATAAAAGCAAACACATATAACAAGGAATCTCTCCACGCAGACAAAACAGGACCTACAACTTGGCTCTCAGAAAAATTAACCCCAAGAACAAACCCTATAGAATCATTTTAAAAGTTTCCATTGTTGGAGTTTGAACCCCATATCCCAGCAGGCCTAAAAGCGTAAGTCTGCTTTGGGACCGACACATTAAAAATCTACTCAGTGACAACAAAAACTAACGGAACCTTTAACAAGAAAGAAACAATCTGAATGCCTCATATGCATTGAAACAGTTCACACACTGAAACCAACAGCCAAGAATGCAATGCTGTGTGGACACTTACGTGACATCTGTTTTGCTGCCAGCTTTAACTCCTCCGGCAGGGATTCTTTTAACAATTACCAATGAGTTTTTAGGAATCAGGGCGTCTTCTGTGTATTCTGAAACCAACAGAAGTACAGAAAAAGACATTCAAAAGGACATGTATTAATACATACTTAACTACACAGCGCTTCAGAGAAGGCCTTTACAGATACAGAAGCCAAATTTTGTATGTAACGTCGTGCTTTCATTGCCTGAACACACTAACAGTACCTTTCAAGACATTCTCAGGTTTGATAACGGAACACCAGCAGCTAAATCTTTTTCCTTTTTTGAAAACAGTTTGAATGCCAACAGCAAAATGGTCGCAGAGGTCACTACAGGACAGCCTGCTAAGACAGTTAGCAGGCTAACTAACTGAAGTTGCTTTTGCTTCGATTAGGCTACAAAACTGATAGATCGCTGGAGAAAAACAAACCACTACAAAGTCTCACCTGCATAAACCAGGTTCGAAGGTCTGCCTAGCTTGCTCTGAAACAAGCCAGGCATTAGTGAAAGCATGAAAATTCAGATCCACTGCTTTCGCCACTGTTAACTGAGTCACTTCTGCTGCTGGTGCTCCAGAGTGAAAGAATGCAGAAGAGAGCCCGCCACCTTTGTCTGTTTCTTGGAGCTTAATCCACCCAAAGCCACACTTCTCATCTGCTCAGTGCTTTACATTTGCTTGATCAAGTCTGATACTAAGACTAGATCCAGCCACACCTAGGCTCCATCAGGAGTTTACAAAGCCAGGGGGTCCACTCTGAACTTTGTGTCTCAGTGGGAGGGTCTCCTTTTTTTCATCTTTGGTTTCTATGCAAATCATTTTAGCTTGATTCTACCTTGATTTTCTTTTCTGACACTCCATTAGACATAAACCACTGACCAAGCCGGAGACTAAGGCTAGATCTAGCTTCACCTAGGCTCCCCTCAGGGCTTTAGAAAGCTCGGGGCTCTCTTCTGGACACCGTGACTCCGTGCACACATTTGGCAAACTGGTGTAGCCAGCAGGATGCTAAATCAGATTTCATGACACCACCCCACTTAATCCCTGGCACTGCTTACCCTCTTGGTGCTCCTGCCACCTGGTGGGATGGGCCCCAGGCTCACTCGTGCTATGTGGCGATGAGCCACAGAAGGCAGGATGCGGCTTCTGCTGGCTGCGGCCATCATGGGGTGGTCTGCAACGCTGCCAGCCAGGACATCCCCAAAGCCCTGCCCATGCTGCGAACACGTACCTTCTTTGGTCTGGGCATTGCTGATCTGCAGATCACAGTTGGCTGCCTTCAGCTTCTCCTTGCGCATGATCTTGCACTTGAGGTCGCAAAGGGAGATGTCGAGGCCACTGAAGGTGACCATATCATAGTTCAGCTTGGAGAAGAACTTGTAGTGGATGCAAGACATGGTCGGGGCCAGGCAGTGCCTGCTCCACTACCGGGTCTAGCTCGGCAAATGACAGATAGAGGCCTTGCAGCCTCTACCAAGGTGAGGGCACGCGGCAAAGCCCACCGAGGGGACTGGGCTGAGCAGCACGGGCTGAGCTTGCGCTGGCCAACGGCGTTCAGAGCCTGCAGCACTCTGCCACAGCCAGGCCCTGACACATCAGGCAGCCTCTGCGGACAGAGCCTCAGGCCTCCATCGTGGCGTAGTGAGGCCCTGGCTTTGCCACCTTAACAGCTCCAGGCTATGGCCCTCAGCAAGTGAGCTGTGCCGTGATGTCGGCACCTGCCCCCGTCCTCCTCAAAGCCCTAGCTTGGCCTCAGTGTCCTCTCCCGCATGCAGCACTCTGAGGCCTGACCAACCTCTATGGCGACTCAAGCACCTCTGCCCCAGCCTTCACCAGGTGCGACAACACAGCGCACCCAGGCAACCCAGCGCATTGTGACAAAAGGCCCGTGTCACGTGCAGGTCCAAGAACCCCAAGGGGAGGGGGACCCATCACACCTGGGCCGGTCACCGCCCTGAGCTGCTCCTGTCCCTGCTGTCACCCCAGCCTGACCTCAGACAGTGACCATCCTGTCATCCCCACGCTGTCACTATGGCGACCCTCCCGTCAACATCCAGCCAGGGTGAAACATCCTGGGGCGGATGCAGCCCCACTGTGGTGCTCAGCTGCCCGTGCCACAGAGCCAGCAAAGGGAGGGGACATAACGAGCTGTTTGAGTGCATCTTGAAGAATCACAGACTTCAGTCAAAGCAGCCAGTGACCATTTATGTTTATTGCCATCAACCAACGGACTTCCCCAGTGTCCCACATCCACAGTTGCTTGAACTCTGGCGAAAAGGACTAAAAAGTAACAAAGGAACCATCGGCACTTGGGAGAGGCTCCAGGTTAGAATCAGTATCTCTTCTGATCCATCACTCTTAACTACTGATAGCTACAGGAAAGAGTGTTGCAGCCCTCTGGCAGAATGTAGCTCTAAATTCCCCCTAGCTTTTGTATCACAGCTAGGGGTTGCAAAACTAGAACAAGCTATATAGCAAACACGTCAGGGCAACTAGAAGAAGCCATTCCTGAAAGCGCAAACAGCATTACAGCCCTACAGGAAGAAACCAAATCATTATCACAAATGGTAATACGGAATCAATCAGCTCTAGATCACCTTTTAGAACTCCAGGACAGAGTATGTGCATTACAGAGAATGTGCAGTATTGACTAATAGCCACTGGGGGTTTTATGTGAATCAGTACCAGAAAAACAAAACTGGCAGAAACAAGATAAAGACTCATTTAAAAATATTCCATGAAGTAAGGCAGGGATTTCCACTACACCTATCTGGGTGGCTAACTTCCTGACTCCTGACAAAGGTAGAGGGCTGTGAACTGAAAGGAGCTGAGTTGTTGTAGTCCCTCTCTTGTTTTGCTTTGTAACGATGCATGTCTGTTCTCAGGGTTGCGTGACCTTATGAACTCAACTTATGCCTTGAACAGTGAATAGTACAGTGTGACCCTGATGGTCAAAAGAAAAGGAGGGACTGCCAGGAAAGTATCTCCCTAACTATTGTAGCAATTGGTCTTTAGAGTATGAAGCTGTATGAACTTTCTTCAGGTATATATACTTGACGTTGTAAACTGCATAGCTGTGGTTCCGTCAGCACAACTGAAGAACCCCAGCTCACTGCAAGGGGGAGAAGAACAGCCCCAACTCTGAAGAAGAAAGGATACCTCTGCACTACCCAGAACAGAGCAGCAGCCCAACCCCTCTGACATCTCAGTGAAACCTCCCCTCACCTCGCAGCAGAGATAAGGTACGGCAGCAAGACCAGTTGCAGGGATGTCCCGGTCAAGAAAGAAGCAGATGGATGACAACGCCACACAATTAGAGCTGCTTTGCAAAACAGCAGTATATGTGTGTGTTGAGTAGGCACTGGTCAAACCACTGAACACTTGAAAGGCTGTATTTTGTGTCCTAGCCTCAGTGCTACCCAGTGGCAGGATGAGGAGCAGTGGCCATAAACTACAGCACAACAAGTTCCGTCTCAACATGAGGAAGAACTTCTTTACACTGAGGGGGTCAGAGCACTGGACCAGGCTGCCCAGGGGGGGCTGTGGAGTCCCCCTCTCCGGAGACATTCCAAAACCACCCAGACACATTCCTGTGTAACTTGCTCTGGGTGGCCCTGCCTTGGCAAGGGGTTGGACTGCAAGATCTCCAGAGTTCACTTCCAACCCTAACAATTCTATGATTCTGTAAAGCCACATTCAGGATGCCCCAATTTGACTGGTACACCTCATGGCCACGAACAGAGAATTACTCTCAAAATTCTGTATTTTGTGTCCTAGCCTCTCTCCTTGGACAGCACATGCCAGTTGAAGAATTTTTAGACGCTACTCCTCTCCCCATTCTGAAAGGTGTCCTCCAAGGCACTGCCCCTGTGGAGGCCCAGAAGCCTTCCGCTCATGGGGTACACTTTACCTCCATCATCGCACTATCCTCCCGGGAAATGATCACTCCGGAAGGACTCTCACTGAAAACATAACTTGAATAGGACTGCTGCGTGATGTGGGTCAGGTTGGCTATGGGGACTGGGCGAGCCATTCTGTGGTGAACTGGAGACAGTGGGGGGAAGTCCAGGGTACTCAGCTGCCAGTGCTGGGGCTCAGCAGGCTGCAGGACACGCAGAAATTCCCAGCTGCTCACCAGTGCTGCTGACAGACATCAGGGTTTCTTGAGCTCCCACTGCTGGTCAGAAGGCTACATGCAGCCAAACATCTGCCCGCGTGATGACGCCTAAAGCAGAAAAACACGGTTAACAAAAGCATCGACGTGCGCAAGGGAACCCTCCGGCTTCTCCCCAGAAAAATCAACTGCATCCTTAGATGCATGATTTCAGGAGACAGAGGCTTCAGCAACAAGCCCAAGAACTTCTGACTTGTGCACCTGGCCACCTATTTTCAGTGCATGTTGCAAATGCTCTAAGGCAGCTCACTACCCTGATTCAGGTTTGAGAAAGCTGCACAACTACAAACCTCCTCCACTTACGCCCTGAGCCACAGAAAAGCACACACAGGGCAAGGGGGATATGCTGACACCCTGATTAAGCCATTCACTGCTCACTGGGCTGCTCCAGGGAGTTGCACTGGCATGAAAGGGCACACTGTACTGGGGGACAGGAAGGCAAGGGGCAAAAGGGAACACCAAACTCCTTAAACCAGCAGTGCCACCACAGTCCCTGCATCATGCAGCATCTTTTCTGAGATCTCGAAGAAGCAGCCGTGGCTAATATGCCTCCTGGGACAGTGTGCACAAAAACCCTCTACCGGAGCAGAAAACAGGATCCTTACGGGGCTCTCAGTGAAAGCCCCCACGTCTCCAGGCTGCTGGGATATCAGCAGCACATCCGCCCCTTTGATGGTCGGGGTCCACTACAAAGATGGTTTCCATTCTGTCACATCCTCTGAGCTTTAACAGCCGGCAGAGCTGGCTCACCCAGGCTCTCGGTACCACCCAGGCACATCACCTGCAGTCCAGCAGTACCGCTGAAAAGACCCCCATGGCCTGCGTTAACACACTGGCACACAGCTGGGATGTAAATACCGCCAAATCATCTCTCAGTTGTAACAGAGTACCAAATTTAGCAAAATTAACCTTACTTCTGAGGAAGCTTTCCTTACAGACAGCTCATCTTCCTTGTTTATAAACTACAGTATCGACCTGTTCTAGCATGAAGACTCGAACCCTGCCTGCAGTGAAGCAGCCGTTCAGACAGCCTGCACTATTTTTTCCCCTCATTCCTCCTTCCTTCACAGAAATCAATCCCTACCAAAAGTACCAAAAACTCTGCACAAAGACTGCGTAGAAAAGCCAACTGCAAGTGCCTTTACCTGCTACTATTTTATCAGGCAGCGTTCTAGGAAGAAACTAGCTTTTCACGCTAGTTTTGCTACAGCTTCACTACCTTTGAAGACAACGCCTGTTACATTTACCTAGCCAAGGCAACCTCATAGCTCAGCAAAATCATACTTCCTGTAAGAAACCTTCACCATAAGGTGAAGACAGACACGCTATAGGAACAAGTTACTCTCAAGAGACTCTTTCAACCGCTCTTCCCTTTGCTTACCAAAGTTCACAGAGCATTAGAGAACATCAACAAAAAAAGCAGGGCTCTCTCTCTCTCATTTGACAGAGCCCATTATACCACGCGTTCGGTCCAACTCCAGTGTGAACCCCAGAATAAGAAATGCAGCCTTCAAGTTTCTGGAAAAAAAGGAAGAGCTTTGAAGCGGCAAGACCAGAGAATGTTCATGAAAGCACCAGCACCCAAGTACACGTGCCTTACCACAGACCACCCGCCCCATTACCAAAGTGAGTGATGCCGTCAATATACTTGCAGCTCAGGGTCTCATGATCATTACTGCCAGCAAAGTCAGCTGGAATTGGAGACGGGAAGAAAACCAGATGCAATCAGTCTGATTTCATGCAAGCTCAGGTAAGTTCAATTTCACATTGACTGGGATTCACAGCAGGTCCCAGGCAAACCTCCAGATCCCAACACCACCCGGGCCGGGGGATGGAGAGGGAAAGATGAGGAAAGGGAGCGGGACACAGATTCTCCAAGAAAAGCACAGGCAGCAGGACAGGTGAGAGAGAGGGAAAAAGGGACAGGAAGGCAGGAAAAAGGGAAAGACAGGCAAAAATGGGGGGGACAGGGCAAAGACAGGGATTCAGGACAGAAACAGAGAGAAAATGAGAGGGACGGAGCAGGGCAGAGGTGGAGAAAGAAGAGAAAGGCAGCAGAACTAAGGGAAGGAGAGACAAGAGCACGGACTGAATGCAAGACAAAGTGACGGAACAGAAAATCCTGATGGGCTTCAGGCTCAAGATGAAGGAATGAAAAAAATGGGAAGAGAGAGCAGGCCAGAATGACAGAGAGAGAAGGAAGAGAGAGCAGGGCAGCACTGGAGGACAAAACCAGCTGCTGGGCATCAGGACAAGAGAGAGGAAAGAAAAATTCCAGAGCAAGAGTGAAAGAAGGCACAGCCAGCTGGACAGAGAGGCTTAGCAAGAAAGGATGGGACAGGGAATGGGACAGAGAGAAAGACAGGAAAAAGGGAAAGAAGGACATGAGAGGGAAAAAAAGGGTAGGGATCTGCACAGAGATGGAAAAAGAAGCAGTAGGGAAAGAGGAAGAGAGGCAAACAGAGGGAGAGGGAGCAGGGCAGAGAGAAGTAAGGACTACGGGATTGACAGAGATCACCACAAGATGTGGTGGGTAGAGGAAAGGCGAG